GTTATTTAAAAAACAATGACATTTCATCTTAGATGATAGGTGATGTTAAATTATCATCGCATGCATCGCTCATGTCGTACAATATGATCATCACCAATCGTTCTGTACGATTTGATTGAATAAATTAATCATAATTGTTCCCCTAATCACATAATCAATTTAGGCATGATTGTCATATATTGTACAATGCAATGCATATCGTACAATACAATTAGAATAAAATTTTGAATTATAAAATATTTCCTAAATTATTATTGGCGACTATTTTGATGATTATAACCGATCGTCCTATATAATATGGATTATCTAATATGATTAATTTAATCAATCTTAATTATCACAAGTGCCCTAATTAAGGATTTTTTGTTTAACTGATTGTACATTATGATGTAAATCTTATTATATGATTAGTTAAAAAAATTAATTTCATCTTAACTCATTAACTCACCCCCCTGAGTGTGTGTGTGTGTGTGTGTGCAAGATTTCTTAGTTTTAGGATCCACCAAAGTGCAAAATTAACTCAAGAAAGATAAAAAGTATAAAAAGACTAAAAAACATACTTTTAATCAGAGTTTACCCAATTTTGAGCTGATCGAGGCTGCAAGTGAACAATAGACCTGAAATGCTAGTGAGTAAGAAAAAATAGATATGCAATTGTTGACTAAAAAAAAAGGAAAGAAGCTATGAGATTTAGTATCTTTTTGGAGCAAATTTCGAAGCTTGAAATATATATGATATTAAAAAAATGATGCAATAAAATCAGAATCTTGCTCAAAATGTTTTTCTATTTGTTTAAATTAACAGTATGAGTTTAGTCATAAAATTAAAAGACAAGCTCTTGAGGAATCAAAGTAAGGAACCTTAAATTGATAATGAAGCTCATTTGGTTTATATAATAAATATGATAGTTAAATATCTGAAATGGTACAAGAAGCTTGGAAACTTTCATATGTTGAATAAAAACATTCTCTATGAAAGTGAAGGAAGTATATTGAAATAAAAAAAAAATATATAGTTTAACAAGCTCGTGGCAAAATACCATGCTTGCAGCAATAGATAAGATAAACTTGAAAAAAATAATATGAGGACTGAATGCAAATTCCTACACCATCCATGAGGAATTTAGAGTTATCTTGAATACCATAATAATAAAAAAAATGTTTGATATTTTATTGTCAAAAGTGACAATTCAGTTTAAATATTAGGGATCTTACATGCCCAATGGTAATAAAACATCTATTGGCACAACTCAATGAAGTTATGGTGTCACTAAGATAAAATATTTTGTTTATATAAAAAATAAAAATATAAAAAATTATAAAAAATGTATACAAATAATCAGGAAGCTTGCAGAAAAAAGGGAAAAAAAGGTGGTCGACGTATCTATTCACGAAACAACGCATATGCTCGACAATGCAATCAATAAAAAGAGGAAGAAGCGAACACTGTCGGACACGTCGCGTCGTCGCCTCTCCAAAAGAGCTCTCCCTCTCCGCCTCTGCACGCTAGAACACCATCTTCGCCTCCACAAGGCGTACTGACTGCCGGCCTCTTGCTTCAGACTTCCCGCTATATCTATTCCGACAACCTTGGCTCAAGTCCCACGCCGAAATCCCGTTGTTCTTCACGTGAACTGCTCCAAATCCTATTTCAGTAATTTAATTTTGCTCTGAAACCTCCGCTGGACTCTTGTTTCTTTATGAAATGAATCTTTCTGTTTCATTTCATAATAAAATTATCCATTTTATTAGTATCCATATCCCGCTTGCTTCACAATAAAGCTATATGCTTGCTCTTGTTTATATTATACATGATTGACATTTAATGCAAGAAAAGACATGATATCATTCTTAAATTTTTATTTATTTATTTTTGAGAGCTTTTATTAATTTTTTAAGAGCATAAAAAATCTATCTTTTATTATTAGATATTTACAATAATTAATAATATTTATTTAAAATTATTATACAATAAAACAAAATACTTTTTAGGTGATTTCCCAAAAATAATAATAATAGAGATGCATATAAATTTTAAAGATCATACACCGTCAATCTTTGATCCATGTATGATGATTTTAAATTTTGAAGACCATACGTCATCGATCTTTGATCTGGGTATGATGGTTTAAATTTCGAAGACCTCGTGCCAGAGATCTTTGATCTGGGTGGAAAGAAATTACGGAAAATGCCGTCCCAACTTCCCTCGGTGGGGAGGGCACGCCGAAAGACTGCCCCATTAGGACTTGGGTTGACCAAGTCAAAGGTTGACTTGGTCAACTCAGTCCATCATGCCCAAGTCTGGACAAAATCGAGGTCAACAATTGTCATTGGAGAGCAATATCATAATTTTCACTAATTAAAATAATGAATTCATTAATTGATCTAATTAATCAAAATAATCAAACATAACTTTAAAAAAAAAATTCAATTAGACAAATGTTAAAATAAAAATCTAAAAATAACTCTTAACTAACTCTCAAAATAAACTCTCCAAAAATAACTAAACTCAAATAACTCAAACAATACAACTCAAATAATTCTCAACTTAAACAAAAACTTTCAAACCCTCTCCAAACAATACAAACTTAAGCAAATGCTCTAAACACCCAAGCTCAAATTCAAACAACACAACAACTCAAACCCAATAAACAACTCTAAACCAACTCTCATAACAAACTCAACTAATAATTCAAACTCAAACTCAACATACACAAACTCTCTAGTTCCCTGGAACAAAGCTCCAAAGTAGTACAAGCTCCTAAAAAGGCAAATGAATGAAATCAATTAAACATTGAAATTTAATAAACGCTAATAAAAAAGAACATATGCTATGGTAAGCTACACACAAAAAAGAAGAAGAAGAAGTAAAATAACGTTAAAGGAAAAAGGACTGAACTACTAAAATAGGAAAAGAGCAACTGTAGCAAGAAATAACTTGCATCAAATTCAAATCAAATTTAAACTTTTGGGCAATCTAGTCTATAAGATTAGGTTGTAAGACCCACTAACATGCTACTTTCTACGAAAGTCATAAATCATAATTTAAATTAAATACTTGGGTTACTTTCTAAGAAAGTCATAAACCCCAATCAAAATCTAAATACTCGGGCTACTTTCTACGAAAGCTGTAAGACACACGTTTAGGAGAATTGTTAAAATGGATTGCGATGACCTTAAAATCCAAATCTAACTAAAAAATCAAATTTAAATCCCCTGAACGCCTCGTTGTAGAGTTAGGTTGTAAGACCCATCATTGGACAACTCATAAATAGAGCAGTAAGCTCCATTCCAAATAAAAAATATCGTGTTACTTTCTACGAAAGCCATAAGTCCCTACCCAAATCAAAATCACACGGGCAACTCCTAATTGGAGCTGTAAGCCCCAAAACTAAATAAATTAACGAGCAACTTCTAAGGAAGTCATAAGCCCAACCCAAATTAAATAAAACTAAAATCCATATTTAACCACTTCAGTCTATTCGAGGTCCCTGAGAGGAGGCAACCCATGGGTGCTAATCAGATTCTCTGGACACTACGGTCAATTATTGTTAGTGTTGGTAGACTGAAATATATGATATACCCGGGATGACGGAACCATGGGATCTTGATCGGGTTTACCTCCATCTTCCCCACAATTGAGACTAAACACTTAAAAATTATTCATCCTTAATAGAGAGTTCTCTCTTACATAGTAAAAGGGATAATTAACTATGAGTGCTTGTGCTCATAGGAAGTAAGGACCCCATATCTAATTAAACCCTAACACAACCCTCAGGGAAAATCTGGTTAACTACAATCTGACTTTAGGGAAATAGAATCCTACAGCTGTAAAGTGGGATTTATGCATTCATGCCAATTTTCTTGAGTCAACATCAATAAATTCAATTATCAAGAGATAACATAATAATAAATCCAATAATGTTTGTCATAATCAAAATCATAAGACTTGGGTTCAAATTTGCAACATTATTTTGTACTCAGGGTTGATGATGTTAAATTGTAATTATATGATTAATGAGTATTATATATAATTTTTAGGTCAATGAATATAAATACATATAGATATTTTGATCAATAAAATTTATTCCGGTTGTTATATGATTTTATTGCTAAAAAACAAACTTAGATTGCTCTGATTATTGTTTAATAAAAGATAAAAGAAAGAAATTACTCGTACTAGATTATAGGGCATGACATAGGTGTTCACTACAAAGTCTCACTTAGGGATGTGGTTGATGGCACAAACCTCTTGTTAAGTTGGTATGTTTTTGGGACATGAGTTCGGCTGGGGATAGTGCTAACATGACCAATGGTACGCAAATTGAGAGAGATATTAGAGACAAGGGGGTAAGACGTCAACAATCCTTACACCATGTGAAGGAGAAAAAATGGTTCACAATAGAAGCTCATTAGTAAAAGTCATTAATGGGAGCTTGATCTATAAAAAACAAGAGGGAAGAAATGTTTGGAATATGTTCAAAACTCAATTTGAATAAAATTCAAACTCAATTCAAATATTGTTCAAATAAGATTATAAAAAAATGTGAAGAACAATATTTGAAATTGTGTTCAAATAAGTTAAATTATGAGATTAAACATATTTGACTTTACACATTCCCACTCATTTATATATTTTAGGATTAAAATAAGTATTTGAAAATAAATGAGATTATCTGGGATAATCGGGTCTCACACATATTAAAAAACACATATTAAAAAAAGTTATATATATATCATTTTATATAATGCTATTTATATATCAACACTTAAAATTTTAATATTTTATGGACAAGAAATAAAATATCAAAATTTAGAGGATGATATTAATGACTGTAATGAAATATATGATTTATGTATTTTATATTAAAGTTATTTATAAGTGCTATAGATATTACATATATTATTAAAATAATATAAAATGATGGATGTATATTCTTAAAAATAAGATGGAGCACATTTTTTTCCCATTTATAACTTATATTAAAAAAAAAAAAAGGAACACACCTCCCAACCGTCGCCGCGCTCTCGCCCCTTCACCGGCAACCTCTCATCGTCCTCAAAGCTCGCCGGAGGATCAGCAAAGAGAGCTAACAGGGAGATAGACGTGCAAGGCAACCACAAAGAGAGAAGAAGAGAGATCACCTACTTTGACGTTAATACTGACCACACAATTACTCTCTCAGTCTGCGAAAATTTCCCCGGCAATTTAGCGGTGCTTTATCTCCCGCTGTTTCATCCGCACGCTTGCCTCTCTACGAACCGAGGAAGTACGGAAACTGAATGGCTGTGGAAAGGTCTGCGACGGTCTCCGCCTCTTCTATTTCGAAGCTCTCCCGCTTCCAGAAGATCGTCCTCGGGTGGGACTACCTCCGCCTCCTCAGAGAATCTGGGGTAATTTATAGTTCTTCCATTCGATTATTTTTTCTAGTTTAGTACTATTCATTCTGTTTTATTGCAGAAGAAGCATGTCGGAGAGGGGTTGAAGCACGTGAAGAGCACTTTTGACAGTGTGGAAGAATACATTGGGGTGTTCGAGCCTCTAATTTTAGAAGAGCTGAAGGCCCAAATCGTCCAAGGGAAGGATGAGGAAGAAGGTTCGGTGCTACTTTCTTCGCGTTTCAGGGTTTTGGGAGGAGATTGTCCACCCTTTTTTTGTTTTGTTTGTTTTTATTTTTTTTTTAATGATCAGGGTTTATTGCTTTTGGCAGCTACGGATTGGCAGAGAGGTGCTGTTGCTACTTGCCAGGAATCTGATGAATTTCATAAACTGTCCCTGGCTGTTCTAGATGATTTCCGAGAGGACGTGTCTGAGAATGATCTTTTGCTTCTTTCAATGGAAAAGGTTGATTTTTTGGTTTTATTTGAATTGAGACATATTTTATCTAGTTATTTAATGATTCCGCAGTAAGGGTCTAACTAGAGCCATAAATTTTTTGTAAGTCGTCTTTTTAATAGAAATTGATTAGATAAACGACAGTGTCTGGTAGAAAATTTGTGTTATATGGTTTTATGAATCATTTATTACTTAATGTTCATGCGGTTGCTTTTCTCTAGTTTCAAGAGGGGGAAGCGCCAAAGCCTTATGCTTTTGCATTGGTAGATCATCGAGGTGGTAAGGAAACTCTTACGGTTCTAACCTATTTCTGTGGGGGGGTAAAGCAATTGGATAGCATGAAAGCTGACTCTAGTCCACGGCTTTTGAAGATGCTTTTGAGTTCTAAACCAGGTGAAAGTTTTGTCTGGATTCTAAAGGTAACTGCAATAAGCATCCATGCACGCAAACAATCCAACCTGGAAGTTTATTTTATTTTCGTTTTGATACCTTTGGTTTTATCTTGATGATGGAGATTGCTCATGGTTGATTTCATATTTCAGATTTGCAGTTTATCAACTATCATGCGCGAATATACAGCCATGCATTCTATTGCACATCTTCCGTTTAAGGATTTAATTTTGTCTGCTTCCCACAAGTCATATTGTAGTGTTTCTGAAGGTCAGGCCTGGAATGTTCCTAAACCTCTCATGGATCACCTTGAAGATTGCCTTAACAGTTCACAATTAGATGCCATAAATGTAAGTTTGTCCTAGAACGTGCAGTGGTTCCAAGAAAATAAATTATATATAAAAGAAACTCATTTATATCAGCATAGAGCACTTAATATTTTGTGCTTTTTGCACATCTATATAGTTGAAATAACCTTTATCCACTATTGCAGGCAGGCCTTTTGCGTAAACCATTTGTTCTGATACAGGTTTGTGCTTGATTTTATACTTATTTTCTTCAAGGTTATGGTTCTTCATTTTTCATGTGACTCTTTTGTTGTGATCTTCATATGAGAAAATTTTATTGTTGCATGCACATGCATCACTATTAATATGTTAACAACACTTATGTACATGCTGCATCAAAAAGATGGTGTTATTATAGGAAAGTGCCAAACTGGAAAGATGGTTTGTTACTGGATATATCCCCATAATTGAGGATATTGTCCTATTTATCATCTCCTTTATGTTTTCTTTATTAGTTTATATACAGACACTTGTATTCAGTCAACAATATACAACAAAAAATTTATATATTTTTAACATGATATCAAAGCAAAGTGAGCTCTTGCCAGTCACCACTCTTCCCTCTTTCCCTCTCATTCATCTCTTTCTCCCTTATTGAGCTTATTGCTTGTAGCTACAACATCCACAATTGCTGCTCTTGCTCGTGTATTCACCCCGATCGTCCCTATGCTCGCTTCTTGTGCTCGTGCATTATGGTGCTTGCTAGCCATTTTACGGTTAAACCACTTTGTTAGAGAGTCTCCATCATAATTGTTAACCTGCGGTATCATTTGATGGTGAGACCACTAGTTGGAGACATGTGCAAAGTCGTTACTAGGGAGACTATTTGAGAATGAATTGTATACTCAACAAGACATTTGCTTTTAGTAAGCTGATGTTGTTCTTGAACTTATCTTCCTAGAGAAATGTTTGTGGAGGGTTGGTGATTTTTTTTTTTTGCTTTATGTTTTTAGAAGATTTCACTTGAATAATTTGAATCTTGTGATATATTGAGTTTTCATATTTTATCAGAATATGGGCTTGAAGTAATTCATTTTGAAATTTGGATAAAATGGAATGCTTCTAAAGTTTCCTTTAATCCGTCTTTTACTTCTAACCAGCTTATTCATGGTATTTTGTTCTCTGGTTCTTCTATTATTTGTGCTCTTTCTGTGGTTTATGCTGCCAACTCATATTTTGAAAGGATTGTTTTATGGAATGATATTTCTTTACCGGCTTCAAGCATCTCCCTTCCTTGGGTTATTATTGGAGATTTTAATTGCTGCAAATTTAGCTCTCAGAAATTTGGTGGAAATATAATTAACAATGGTGAACTTTGGGACTTCAATAACATGATTTTTACTATTGCGGTTCATTATCTGGCATCTGTTGGTCATCCTTACATTTGGTTTAATCAAAGGAGCGACAACCCCATTCACATTAAGTTGGACAGAGTTCTTGTTAATGATTCCTGGTTCGAAAACTTCCCTGCTCCCTATGATAAAATTGAGGACCCTAGATGTTTGAACCATTGCCCTCTTCTTTTGTTTGGAAATCCTCCAATCTGCAACAACCACATATTTCTATTCATAAACTGTTGGCTGGAATTGCTTGAATTTTGGAATGAAGTGATTAATATTTTTGCATCTAGACCTTTTGGCACTCCTATCTATTCTTTCTATTCGATGCTGAAGGTTCTCAAGGGGATTATCAAATCTAAGAAATGGAATCTTCTAAATATTTTTCTGATTCTATTGTGGAGCTTAAATCAAAGCAGAATCAATGTCTATTAGATGTTCAGAATTATCCTATGGAGTACTCTAAATACTTCTCTGAAAAATATTACCCAGCAGCTAGCTTCTAGCTATTCCTCATGGGCATCTTGGATCATTCAAAGTCTGAAGCCACATGACTCTCAAATGGTCAGGATTGCTTGGGGTTTTTGTATGCCAAATTAAAATCTAGAAATAATGCTAACAAGAGCAATGAAATTGTCTCTTCTTCTGGGACTCTCTCCCTCCTCGATTGTTGCTGCTTTTATTGAGTATTTATGGAACCTCTTTAACACTCCTAAGCCTATGGTTTCTGGTTCTTCTCATATCTCTGCCGGCGATAAGATTCCTGCCAACCTATCACCTGCTCTGATTGCCCCAGTTACGTATGAGGAAATTAAAGATATTATTTTTTCTGCTCCTTCCTCTTCTAACCCAGGCCCTTATGGACTCACTTTTGAATTCTACAAACATGGTTGGAATATTATTGGGCCAAGGCTTTGTTTGGCTGCTAAACATTTCTTTTACTAGTTCTATTCCTAGGAGCGTTGAGGCCATGGCTATTACTCTTATTCCTAAACAGAGGTATGCTTTCTCTACGTCAGATTATAGGCCTATTTCCCTTGTAATGTTTTTTATAAAATTATTGCTAAAATTTTGGCTAATCTATTAAGGTTGTTATGCCTCATATCATTCACTCCAGCCAGGCTGGATTTATTAATAACAATATCTCATCTGAAAACATTCTCCTCGCCTCTGAATTGCTTGGGGAGTTTAACCAGAACTACAATATGAAGCTTTTTTGTGCTAAACTTGATATTTTCCAAGCATTTGATATAGTCTGCAGAGAATTTCTTTTCAATAGGTTGATATAGAAAGGCTTTCTTGAAGTTTTCATTTTCTGGATTAAGGTTGTGTGAAAGATGTTTGTTTCTCTATTTGTTTCAATGGCTCCCTAAAAAAAGGTTACTTTAGCTCAACTTTTGATTTAAGGTAGGGGTGTACCCTATCCCTCTACCTTTTTGTATCATCACGGATGCTCTATCATATGATGGATGGAATATCACTACTTACACTTTTTCTGGCATTAAAATTGGTAACACTAACATCTCTCATCTTCTATACGCTGATGATCTCCTTATCTTTGGAAAAGGTTCTCTTTCTAATGCAGAACAACTAAAGTTTATATTGGATTGTTTTGCTAATTGCTCTGGATCGCATATCATTCACTCTAAAAGCACTATCATTTTCTCTAATAGCTTCCACAATGTTGTTCTCATTGCAAATCTTCTTAACCTCTCTTTTTCCCATAATCCATTGATCTACTTTGGTCTGCCCATTTCTCCTAAAAAACTTTGTATTGCAGATTTCTCTCCCCTCTTGCAGAAAATATCTGCATCTTTTGAAGGTTGAAAGCCAAGTTCCTTTCTTTTGCTGGGCGAATTCAATATATCAAGTTCAACATTTGTAACATTTTGTCCTATTGGATTAGGGGTTCCATTATTCCCAAAATCTGCTGTAAGTTTTTGGATAAAGTTTGCTCAAGATTTCTATTTCATGGTGACTCCACTGCAGTCAAAAAGCTGAATACCATCTCTTGGAATAACACTTGTAAACCTAAACATTTTGGCGTTCTTGGCATTCCATCCATCTGTGCTTTAAATCATGGTTTTTGTTGTTCCTTGATTTGGCGTATTATTAATAAGCAATGTTTACTTGCTGGCTGGGTTATTCAAAAGCATGTTTCTCTTTGGAAAAGCCCTTGATCTAAATCTAGTAAATATTGGAAACTTATATGTGCCACTGTCGTGAAGATTAGAGTCAAAATACTCCTCAAAGTTACTCCTGACAGCAATTTCTCGGACCCTTGGTGCAAAGGTTTCCCAATTTCTCGATTGTCGGAACCTGGTCTTATTAATACATATCTCTCTCATACTGTTAAGAGCTTTATTCACCTTTCTGCTTGCAATGTTCCACTGAATATTCCTAATACGGTTAAAAGTTGCATCATTAAGACTGATATACATCTTAATGTAACTTCTGTGATCTTCTGGGAGAAGTGGATAAACCCAAATTTAGAGTTTTCATGTCTCACTACTATACAGGCTTACAGGAAGTTAATTGGTTCAAGTTTGTTTGGCATAAGAGGTATGCTATGACATATTCCTGTTTTACTTGGCTTGCTAGTTGCTATGCTTGAAGGACTTAAAACTGCTGATGTTTTGGCAATAAGGAATATTCAAATAAATCCTATCTGTGCTCTTTGTTATTCTGCGGTTGAATCTCATGGTCACTTGTTCTTTGAATGTGATTTTTCATATTCTATCATTACTACTCTTCTCCCTTGCTTTGCTTCTTTTCTCTTTAGATTGAATTTGAGGCAATTGTTGGATTATATAGATGAGTTGCAGCAGATTTAGAGTGTTTCCAGGAGCTTTTTCTTTCTTACTGCATGTAGTCTTAACTTTATTTGGAGAGAACACAACAATCATAAATTTATTAACATCTCTCATTGCTCCTCTACTGTTTGCCACATAATTAGAGAAGCTTTAAGGCTTAAAGCTTCTTCTTGGAAGAATTCTGTGGAGATTTGGTCACTGCTTGTGAGTTATGTATGAGTAAGATCTTTATTATCTGGCTGGGAATGATTGAGATTATTCACTTGGTTTGCTTTGACTGTTTTTGCTGCCTCAGTTTTGTTGAGATTGATAAGCTGAAGCATTTTTCTCTAGTCAGCTGTACTGTTCTTTGGTTATCTGCTGCTTGTGCTCCTCTGTCCTGTTCGTGGATGCCTTTTTCTTTTTGGCTAAGGCATTCTGTTTTGGCTGGGTAGATGATGACTGGGAGACATCCAATCGGTGGCTCCTTGGATGGCTGTGTCGGCAAGCAGTTTTGGAAGGCTATTGCGGCAACCAGTACTTGCTCCTTGGATGGCCGTTCTGCCAACTAGTTCTTTTTCCTTCTTGGATGGTCAAAATTTTGGCGTGTCTGTTCTTGAGGGAAGGAGAGGAATGAGAGTGACAAGAGAGAGTGAGGAAGGTTGCAAGAGAAGGGAAAAAGGTTCGAGCAAGATCGTTTGGAGGTACTAGGGCAACGTGCGATGGTATGACCTTGGAAGAGGGGGCAATGTGGACTGGTGATGTGAGGGATTTTTGGAAGATTTATTTTATAATAATAATAATAATAATAATAATAATAATAATAATAATAACAATCATATATTATCATTATATTATTTTTGGCTTTTTTTTGCAAAATTTTCATTGCTTGCTCAAATCAATGCCATGTCGTCACCTCACGTGTGAGCAAATTTTTTGATTTTCGTCACTCCGAGACCTTGGGCAATATGGGTGTATATTTATGCTATTTCTACTGTCCTCATCGCACTTGTGAACGAACACTGTTTTGGCAATTTCAACTTTTGATCAATGCATTTTGGATACCATTTATGCAATGTCACATCTTTCACTTTAGTTGGTTGGGTTACCACATAGCGGTTGTCGAGGTCAACAATGAGAATCAACCTCCTCTTCATTACATTGTAATGTGCCATACTCCACTACTATTATAGTCTATCTGTGCCTTGAGCAAATAATGATGTGGAATGCAAAACTCTTGTGGCTATCCTAGAATTAGTTGGAGAATTTCAAATTTAGCTACTACATATATATGACGACCCTCAACTCATCATCAACTAAGTATTAGATACCTACAAAATCAACAATATTAAGTTAGCCTATTTTCATATTTCAATAAGTATATTTGAGACTATAGGTTAACATAGATTGTTATTATTGGACATAGATGTCTGAATGAAGTAGTATCTATCTTTTTTGTTTGTTTTCTATTGGAAGTTCCCGTCATTGTTAATGTTAAAATATTTATCATATTTCAGTAGTACTGCTATGTTTTAAAGTTTCTTTTTGTGTAGGGTCCTCCAGGAACAGGAAAAACCCATACAATTATTGGACTTCTTAGCACCATTCTCCATTCATCTCCTACAAGCATACACTCGAAGTAAGTGTGTTTGTCCAATTTTTATATACTCTAAAATCTAAATTTCTAAGAAGAGATTTTCATTTGTTGCAAGTATATATATATATATATATATAAAGAAGAACAAGAGTTAGATGGTCTTATTTGAAATTCTCCTATTTTAAGAATACACTCGGACATCTGTTTGTTTTTCTAGCTTATTTTTTTATTATGGAACCATTTTTCAATGCAGTGGTGGAACTTCTCGTATCAAGCCGAGGCCAGTAATGTCTATCGAAGAGAGGTATGGTAAAAATGTGATATTTTATCTTTTTTATTAAAATTATTTTGATGGGCGGCGTAAGCCTTGCAACTTGCAAAGGTGGTTCCTTTGTTAGGAGTTTAAATCCGAGCTGATTAAGTTGATTTCATGTTGGAGCATTGCATTTTACATCATGATGGGCTGAATTAACTTGGTTGTGACACTTTTACTACTATGTTATGTGAAATTCTAGCATGTACTTTTTTTTGGACGTTCTTCTTCATGTTAGTTAATTCTTTTTAGAAGTTTATGTACTCTTAGGGAAATATCTGGTTGTTTGGGAGTGTCAATATTCAATCCTTTGTCGATCCATCATAAGGTTGGATTGAAAATTTGAACATGTTCCAAACATTATTAAAACTTTACTCTGACCATACTAAGTAACCTTGCTCGATTTGTTAATTTCTGGTTGAACCCATTAATATTGCTCCTCTATTGTATAGATGGATATGTTTCAGAAGCTTGATATTTTTTTCTTTTTTTGAAACTCCTCACAAAAAAATAAATAAAATAAATGGTGTTATGATGATAGTAATCAATGTTGTCTCAACTATTTGGGTTCAATTTATGCATCCTTAATTAATGTTCTTGTTGAATGTGGTATGATAGGTTCACTTTATTTTGCCTTAAGTATTTTTGTTCAATTTCTTGCCATGCAACCTTTAGGATCCATTTGAGATGATTGCTTTAGTTTGTAAAGATAGATAACTAGATAAGCAGTTGTACAATTGTTTTGGGGAAAATAAATTTTTAAAAGCTGTTTTAGATATTATAATTTTTTTTTTTCAAATTGGATAACAACTTTCTTATGACTGCCATATTTTAGTAGATTTGGTTGTAAAGGTTGCTTTTTTGTCAGAGAAATTTCTAAAATGCAGCAAGAAAGCAATAGTGAAACAACAGTGTGGAAGTGGTGTGAAAACCAATGTCTACCCCACTTTTATCTTATTACTTTATATTAATTTTATCTACTTGTCTTATTTATCTTTTTTTATCTTTTCTAGATGCCCAAATCAATTAATTCTATTTTTCATTATGTGCTACTCTTACCATCCTTCAGCATTTTCATTTTTTACTCTTAATAGTTTTTACAATACACCATCTTAATATTCTCATTTATGCCACACTCAATTTAGTCATTAGGGCTTCATGGGTTCCCAACACTGGGAATCATGTAGCATATGCAATATAATTGGTGTTTGATAAATTTTATTGGTCCTTGTCATATCTTCTTAATACAATTCTGTTGAGTCACCTCTCTATTTTAACCATGAAAAGGATGGCATAAGGCTTGCAAATCTGCCCATAATAATTTGACCCTTAGAAGATTTATGTTATGCATTGCTTTTCTTTCTTCCGGAATTTAAACCATTTTTATCATCAAATGCAAAAAGGTTTCGTAGAGAACACTCAGCAACTTGTTTTAATGTCATTGTAGCTATGAATGTGACCTTCAGGTTGTTCATTTTACTTTCGTTTGTTTTTGTCGTTGCTGGCTAATATGTTATTCTTTTGTTTTCTTTATTGTGTTTGAAAACACAATATCAACATATTGATAAAAATCTTATTTCAACACAGCAAAAACTATAACAACGAAGAGAAAACACAACAAAAATTAGCGAGAGGTTTTTATATCGGCACAATAAACCAAGATACAAGTTGATCTACTATTCGAGAGGTAGATTTACTCTTCACAAACCCTAGACACCGCTAGGAACAACTCCAAAGAAAACTATAGCCAAACACAATTCACATAATAAAAATAAAATAACATAATTAACCATAAATAAGTTCTTCTAATTCCCTCCAAAATCTAAATTTAAATTAGTCCTCTTTCCCTAAATAAATCTTCCTAATTCTTTCCGAATCAAATCAACCATCTTTCCTTAAATAAGCCTTCCTAATTCCCTCATAATCAAATTAACCCTATTTCCCTAAATAATCATTCCTAATTCCCCTCTCAATTTTGGTCTTTTATGGTAAATAATTAATCCTCTTTGGCTCCCCTCTTTCCTTGCCTGCTGTCCCATTAGTGGGGTCCACAGGGCCCAACACATCAATTCTCCTTTCCCGAAGAGCCATCTTATCCTCAAGGTGGAACAAAAAAACTACTGCTATGGTTATCATGTTGCTTCATAGTTGGACAAATCCTGTTCCTGCTTCCGATCGAAATGTCGTTCCTTCCGGTCCTACAGGTAGAAAGTCGTCGAAGGAGAAGAGTCGAACAGCAAGAAGGAGAATCGGGAGAGAGGAGAGGTAGCAGCCGCGAATGAGAGCCTTTGCGCTCATTTTAACGACGCGAGCGAGATCGTGGGGTGAAGTGACTTCGACGTGCGAAATGCGGCGACGACGTGCGGGCAGGTACGCGAAATGAATTATTATTTTTTTCTTTAAACTGCCGTATACAGGTCAACAACATCAATTCTCCTTTCCCAAAGAGCCATCTTATCCTCAAGGTGGAACAAAAAAACTATTGCTACGGTTCTCATGTTGCTTCATAGTTGGGCAAATCCTTCTACACATTTAGCCACTCATTGAACATAGTTTTTCTTATTGCTTGCCTCTACATATCCATCCATATTATGCTCCTCTTGCGTGAATGCTGAAGTAACCCATGGCAACATTGACTGTAGAACCTCTGCTCCAGTTGTTCCAATTATACGGACAACAATCTTATCCCACTCAATAGAAAAATGTTTATCAAATAAATGTCACAACTAAAGATTTTTAAAAATATGTTTGTCCAGTGAAACTCGTATTGATTTACACGTCTTGAAGCTTTGTAACAAGTTCATTATGCTCCTTTTTCCAACTTGTGTTAGTTAATGCTTCCGTATTAGCGTCTGTCCTTGTCAGTCCATCATAAAATTGTGAAAGTTCTGAAAGAACTTCAAATATATCGTTAAACAGCTTCTCCTCCTGCTTGTGCCTGCTTGTGATCAAGAGTATATGAATGGCTGACATTGTGAAGTGACTCCCGAGATTCGAAAGCTGGGTAAACAATGTCATCTTCGCAATGCTGTGAGCTCGATATAAGCCCCACTGTAAACAAAATATTCCACTGAATTGCAGCAGAAAAGCTTCATCGCAATTTATAAGTTTTTTGGAATCGACATCTAGATACTCTAAATCTTTATGGATTGCTTTATGAAACTTATATTATCAATTGGTCTCACAGCATTCTCCATATTGGATGATAATGTATCTGTTTCCCGGAGAAAGTGACTGGAATTTAGAGTAGCTGTTGAGTTGTAAGAAAATAACCTGAGGACTTTCCCTGAAGCAAGGGAACTAATTCCAATATATATATATTTTTATTTTTTATTTTTTATTTATTTTTGTTTTGTTTTTTTCTTTTTATAATTTTTATTTTTTGTATTTTTTTAAAACTAATTCCAAAATTGTTGCTGCCACCAACCCCTAATTTAGGGATGCGAAAAGCTGTAACTCACGACAAACTTTGAGTCTCTACTCTTCCTGATTCATCACCATCCCTAGCATGCAAGCATTATATTGATAGATTGCCTCTATGCTTCTTTTGTTTGATCTTTGATTGTGCTTCAACCTTGTCGCTGGGTACACAGGCACATGTAAAAATTCCCGAACTAAAACCTGCAACTCTCGCTCTTATCCTTAACAGATAGCAACCAATGGTCACCTCCGGAGATAAACATTGAAAATTGTAACAATCAGAGATATCTGCGGTCCGACCCTTGCATGCCCAACCATAGAAGAGAATCATCAACGCAGAATCCGATGCTGCTGCTGCAAAACACATGTTATGGAGAAAGGCCCTTGCCTCTAACTCAGTAAACTCTGAAACCAACCAAGGTAGAACACGCTCTAATAATCTTAGAGGCATTACACACAAATTTTTGTACAACAATTTTTGCTGTTTAGCTGGAGAGAAATGCCTCCTAGCAACAAGAAGAACCTCATCTTCCTCAGTATGAAAGTGCTCTGAATTTTCATAATCTGATCAGCATATAAACATAAATTTGAATAAGAGTCAACAATGCTTGAATTTGTTCTTGTGCTTTTGATTTCTTTAATTAGAAGCCTAAATTTGTTTAACTGATTTTCCTCCTGCGCACGCTTCACCAAAAATCCCACCCCTTTACCCTGAATGGTTCTCACCATGGTTTTGAGTGAAACCATAGTTTTGGATAGGCTAGTATCCCCTCTAATAACCACTTTCCTCCCCTCAACCTTGAACTCCATCATTAGCGCCTTCCAATCAATTTTGATCTTTTCCAACTTTTGCATCCACTTCATCCCATTATCACATATGTGCTCCTCAAATCCAATGACAGAAAGTCTTTCAATACCTAAACCTCTGGAAGGATTAGGATCACCCATTTGCAAATTTCTCTACTCCTCTCTACTTTTCTTGTTCCCAACATAATCCCAAAGACCCATGTCTACTAATTTCAGTCCCAACCACCCACCTTCATGTTGGAAATGAAATCGTGGGTAGTTCCACTATCCACCAGTACTATCACCTCCTGATGCTCGATCTTCCCTTTAACCTTCATGGTGTAGTTCGGGGTGAACCCAACCACCGAGTTAAGGGATATCTCTACAACATCTAAGTAAGGGTGATCATTCTTTCTCCTCTACTTCCTGCTCTGTAGCATCTCCCTCTTCATTGCAGACTGTCAGGACTTTTAACGAACAATCCTTACAACGATGGTTGGGGAGCGAACTTCTCATCACATATACCTGTAGCCCTCTGCTCCTGAACACAGTCAACCTCTTGAAGTTCCCCCTGATCGTACTCCCTGACCTCTATCCCTCGGGGCTTCCTTTTGAACACCGTCTGCACCTTTGGTGTTAGAAATATAGTGGTCGCACGGTAGGAGACTCATGAACTGCTACTATGGCTACTCCTCTCCAAGGAGTTCATATCCTCTACTAGTTGGGCTAACTCCATAGTCTTTCCTAAGCCATGTGATCTTAGTACTCGAATGTCAGGCTTGAGTCCATTCATAAAGCTCCCCTCTAGTATAGTCTCTGACAACCTTCCCAACCGGCTTGAGAAGTACTCGAACTTCTCCCGATAATCTATCACTATCCTCTCATGCACCAGAGCAAAGAACTTTTCATAGAAGTCTCCTTCCTGACTGGTTTGGAAACATTCTAGTAGACAGTCTTTGAACTCCCTCCATGATAGGATCAGATCTTGCTAGTCTCTCCACTGATACCAGGACAGAGCCTTACCTTCCAAACATAGAGTGGTTGCGGTGAGTTTTTCGTCTTCTGTTAACCCATTTATAACAAAATATTGCTACACCCTATAAATCCACACATGAGCTTCTTATCCCTAAAAACTTGCATTTTGAACTTTCTCACCATAGGATTTTCACCACCCTAATAACTTCTTCCTCTCTAGTGTTGTGGTTGTTGTGATCCCTCCATGTTTTTCTCTCCCCCAAATCAGTTCTCAGATCTTCATCATTCCAATTTCATCGCCGGTCATACCCTTCACCCATTCCCCTTCCTTGGAAATGGATCTAAATGTGGCATCTCCTCTTTTTCCCCCAAACTTTTCACCTCCTGATCCTCCCTCATTAACCCTATATTAGGGTGTCCCCACTTCCTTGTTCGGTCAACGGTGCTCTCGCCTCCAATGTTGGTGGTTGGGTATGAAGCTTCAATATTTTCTTTATCATGTCCTTTAGGTTAGAAAACCTTCCTTCCATAGATGACATATGTTCCTTGATTTTAGATTTGAGTTGGCCAACTTCTCCTTCTAGTTTCTCTTTCAAAGCATCCTCTTTCTTTGACGCCATAGGTACCGAATCGTGCTTTGATACCAATTCGATAGGAATCTGGTTTCCACAGCTAAAATAGAAACAATGAAGAGGAAATACAACACAAATCAACAAGAAATATTTTTATATCGGCACAACAAACTAAGATACAAGTTGATCTACTATTCGAGAGGTAGATCTACTCTCCACATACCCTAGGAGCCTCTAGGAACAACTCCAAAAAAAACTACACTCAAATACAATTCACATAACAAAAATAAAACTACATAATTAACCCTAAATAAGCTCTGCTAATTCCCTCCAAAATCTAAATTCAAATCAGCTATCTTTTTCTAAATAAATCTTCCCAACTGCCTCCCAATCAAATCAACCATTTTTCTTTAAATAAACATTCCTAATTCCTCCTAATTTTGGTCTTCTATGGTTCCCTTTGACCCCCATCTCTCCTTATTTGCCGTCCCATTAGTGGGTCCCATAGGGCTTGGCGCATCACATATCTAAAGCTATTGAACTAAAAACACATAACTATGCTTCTACACATTTCTCTTGGCATTTCTTGAGCTTTTGAACTAAACACACCAAACTATGCCTGTACACCTTTTACTATTTAGTCTGCTTATTGTATACGTTTAGCATACATGATATTGGATGCTCATTTCACTTTGAATATTTGCGATGGTTAGCCAACGTCACACCTTGTCATTGAAAATACTTTGTTTTCTCAATTTTCTATTTCTTTTCAAGAAGTTATGAGCCTTACTTGAACTGACATTTGAGATTTGGTAGACATACACACTGGAGAAAAGCATCTTCTTGGTTAACCGGTCTGAGTCCAAGGGATCTGATTAGACCTATTGATGGTGATGATGGATTTTACCCCGTTGGGAATGAACTGGTACCTTTCAATTCATCATATTTTGTTGTTTCAGTGAGTTTTACATCTTAACCTTACATTGATGTTTTACCTCGTAGAAACCTGAAATTGTCAAGTCTGACCGCAAGTATCGGAGACATGTTCTGGTTTGTGCTCCATCTAACTCTGCACTTGATGAGATAGTACTACGAGTTTTACACAGAGGTCTGAATCTCCCTTCTTATCCATATGTTATCCATTCTGATTAGGTCATCATTTTTTATGCAAAGTTTTCCGGTTAGATAATTTATAGAGTACATATTTCTTCTTCATCTAATTTGTTCTCCATTTTTTTTTCTTCTATTTGTCTCATTGTTAGATTTACATTTTAGCAAGGTTAAATAGATTTCTACCTATTATACTGTCCGAAAAGCTTTGCTGTATCTTAGGATAAAACTTGAACTAAGTTTTTTGTGCAGGTATTCATGATGAAAATAACCATGTCTACACTCCCAAAATTGTGCGAGTTGGTCTGAAGCCGCATCATTCAGTGCAAGCAGTGTCCATGGATTACCTTGTGTGTATTTTTAATTTCTGAAGTTAGAGTGCTAATACATATTGTTATTGAGCATAAATTTACTCTTAACAGGTAGAGCAAAAGCTTGCCAGTATGGATCGTTCAGCATCTCCCGGTGGAAAGTCTGGGGAATATGTGAATCGGGATAAGATTCGTGATACAATTATTGATGAATCAGCCATTGTCTGTTCTTTTCTTGTTATAAATATTTTTTATTGTCGCAATTTTTTTTAAACATCATTCAAACTTGTAGGTGTTCTCCACTCTTAGTTTTAGCGGGTCAGCAATTTTCAGCCGAAGTAGACGTATCTTTGATGTTGTTATAATCGATGAAGCTGCTCAGGCTGTAAGTGTTTTACTTGGCATGGATTATATTGGCACCATTAATTATGGGGCTGTTTGGTTGCCTGTAATCAGAATATTATGAATAATTTATCATATTTTCTGCATTCTTTTTTTCTTACTTATACTGAAGTAAAGAAGGAACAAGCAAGGCATAAAGTTGTCGAGTGTAAATTTGTATCTTCCGCTTTATAGGACACTAAATCCTCTGAAGTAAGTTTACATTCAGTTTATTTACTTCAATAAAATTTATAGTTTTTATGTCATTCCAAACAGCCCCATGAGTATCTTGATTTTATTGAACGTCCCATATTATGCCGAGGGATATCTGGATAAAAATCCGTGTAAGTAGATTTTTTTTTTTGAAAATGAAACTTGATTCAAAATTTTGCAAACATGGATAATAATTTATCATACTTTGCAAGCAAGGAGAAATAATGGTGGCCTTATGTCTAGTGGGTGAGAATGATCTGATTATGAGCCGATTAAGTTGCTGACCAAAATCATTTTATGGCTCAAATTGATTCGATTTCATGCCAATTGTAATTTGACCTGAACTGGCTTGAAAATGATATTATTTATTTTTAAATTATTTTGTATGTATATGTGTACATTTATATACAAATTTGAGCTCATAATAATATTTCTAGCCAATCACGAGAGAACTCAATTAGACTTGGACCCAACTTTAAATTTGCTTAATGATTGGACTAGCCAAAAATGTAGTCACTTGACTCAATCTGAACTATAAATTGCTCCAATATTTGACCTATTTCATTGGCATACTTCCTTTGATATATATATATATCTTGATTGGTTCTTTCATGGTGAATTTCTTTTCTCCCAATTGTGTCATGAATGGGCTCACCCTTTAGGCTAGTTTTAATACATAGTTCCTATGAGCAAAGTTGATTAGTTTCCAAAATATTTATTTGGTTTTTAACTTAGATTTTAGCTTAGATTTATTTCAGTGCACATTTGATCTTGTTTTGTTAGCAATTCCTCCAATTGGTTTTGCTAAGCATTCAAAATCTTGTTATTGAGTCCTAGTTTTTGGCTTACTTGTTGGTTAAACGTTAGTCTTTGATATCAAATTCATTCAAGTTGACTTAAGGTCTAGGGTTTATAAATGCAAATATTAGGGGTGTCAAATTGTGTCCATGGGTCGGGTTCGGTTCAAACCCGATTTTGACCCGGCAGTTTTTTACCCGACCCGAACCCGACCGGATTTAGAATTCGTGTCACTTTCCCAACTTGATATCAAATATTTATTTGGTTTTTTACCCGACCTGTAAGCAATTAGATACATGAAATTTGCAAAATTAAATTTACATATATACGAAACTGCAATAGCAATTAAATTTTATGAAGTGCTGTAACTGCTGCAACAATTAAGCATTTAAGCATAAGAAAAGTATAGGAACATAAGAAATCTCAACAAAAGAAGATGAGTAAGTTGGGATCAGAATTGTGAGATGGGTAAGTTGGGTAATTAAGAAGCATAAAAATATAAGATTCACCACAACAGGAACATAAGAATCTCAACAAAAGAAGAGCGAATCAGCAAAATTTTGAAAAGAATAAATGGTAGTTCTTAGTACTTCCTCCCCAACACCAACTATGCTACCCAGTTCAATTAACCATTGCCATCTTCACAGCCAATTTCTAAAAAAATTAAGTTAATGATGCCCTTATTTACACTCTCAAGTTCTAGATCATTCACAACTACAAAGAAAATATGTATTACTACAAACTTATGAGAGAAAATCAGTTAAAATGGAATCTCAAATAAATTGAATAATTACCATTATCTCTATATAACCAAACTTTATTGCAAACTAAGGCTTCAACAATGTCATGTTTTAAAGCACTTCTATATTGATCCAATACTCTACCACTGTTACTGAACGCACTTTCTGAAGTTACTGTATAAATGGGAATGCATAAAACATCTCGATCGATAACGGCCACTTCAGGAAACTTGTACTGGTTAACCTTTCCAGAAATGTAATATGACTAACTTAACCTTCATATCAATTTTTTGTTCTTCAAGGTACATTTCAAGTTGTGACTTCCTAGGCTGAGTAATTTCCTCTTCGAATGAGTCATAATCCTAATTATGAATTTCACAGTAAAATGTATAAGTTAGAGAATAGAAATATAGTTGGAATGAATGACAATGAATCATACCTAAAGAAAATTTGATTTTATAATTGTTGGATGAAAACTCATAGAGCTATCAACTTGAGAGCTTTCTATGGGCAGTTGGGCACTGATGACTGCCCATTGAAAGTGTGTTGTTCAACTTTTTCATAATTTACAATCAAATAGTTTATCCCTAACCTTTTTAGTTTCATTAATATAATTAACTCCATATAACTTTCTATAACACCTCTCAACAAATGTAAACTTGTACTTATGATCCAAGATAACAGCTATTGCCAAGATATCACTGAAATCAAACCAATACTTCTTAAATTTTACTATCATCCTTGTTACAATATTTCTAATGTACTCCACACCATAAGACCTTTCATGCTTAAGTGCCGCATAAGCCGTAGAAATACAAAGGAAGAAGAGATTTGCTGTTAGGATATTTTGTGCCTGAAAAAAGAACAAGTAATCTCATAAAAAGGATCTAGGAACTCGTAAATGCTCTCCAACCTCTCCCATTCCTTGTTATTGGGGCAAGATTTGAAATTGGACTCAAATAGTTCCAAATGCTGAAAAGCATGTTTGTAGTAAATAGTAGAATCAAGCATGATGAATGTTGAGTTTCACCTCATAGGAACATCTTGTTTTAATCATCTTTTAGAGTCAAGATAGCTTTGCTTGACACATTCCAACAAATATTATTTTCTTACTTGTGAACCTTTTACATATTTGATATTCTCTCTAATATTAGCAACATTAGATGGAAACTCTATTGGTACATTTTAAAATTTCCTTTTGAATAAGCCCTTTCTCTTTCGTAAACAACTTTTTGCAGTGACTTCTAACATTATTTCTAGAAACTATTTGTAGATCATGATTGAGATAATGCAGCAATGCACGAAGACCAACCCATTTAACACACTGAAAAGGCATATCATGCATAATAATGCAGGGAGTAAATAACTCACAAAACTCATGTATGTTAAACCTAGATTCAGACATGGAGATGGACGAGCTGATATTTGACTGCAAAATAAGTTGCCATGTCACGAGTATCGCTTTTTTTTTACAATTTTGTAAATAATGTCTTAAGTTATCAGTGCCATACTTGCTGTCACACTGATATATTGCCTCCACATTTCCTACATTTATATATCTGCTTGCCATCACTAGGAAGGGGTAACATCTCATAATAACTCCAAACTGTTGAACTCATACATCTTCTTTTCTTGAGGGTAGCCGGGCCATCCAAATCTTTTCCATCAATATTACATAAATCATCATCATCATTATTTATGTCAACTTCATTAGGAGCACTGCTTACTTGCACATTATCATCAAAAATAATACTTTCAACAACTGTGTTAGAATCCTTTATCTAACAATGGCCACATGAAAACATTTATTAAGGTTAATGTACATAACTAAATATGAAGGAACAGTAGAAATGGATGTGTTCAACAATATTTAAAAACTCAATCAGTCACAATAAACCATCATCAAGAGGATGAATTAGTCAACAAGCATATGACTGCTTTTCTTCACAATCAGATTTAACTGATAGCTTGATACAAATTTATGCTTACCAATCATTTCACTCACCAAACTAAGAAGACAAGAATTGGAGAAGTATAGTTATAAGCAAGTTAGATCACTGATTAAAAAAAAAATGACGTACAGAAACTAAAATAGAAGGCTAAAAGCCTACAAGCTTATATGATTATCCCTCAACCAGACGGCCCAAACTGACAGAACGTCAAGGTAAGATATTTCGGGACTCGATAGTATGTAATCATATTTAAATAAAAATCATAAAGAACTAAAGGATATGTAATAATGTTTAGGATTGACATCACCTAGGGTTTGTTAATCATGCAAACACAAATTACACAATATAGGGTTTTCGTTTGAGAAGTTCAAATATGAATTTATTTTGAGGAAACTCATGATAGAGACTAAAAATCTTGCTAAGAAATCATCATATCATCCTGTTATCTCAAAATGAAAAAAAGTTACCAGTTGTTGATATATGCTGGCAAAATCTGAATCCTGAATGGGATACCTAAGTACGAGGGGAGAATTTCTTGAGGAATCGAGCCAACAACTAGCATTCAAACACGAAAAATATTGAACGTAGACGAGAACTAAACATAGAAATTGAAAGCCAAAAGCCGTAAGACGAAACACGTGCGGCCTAAGTCCGTAATATTAATGAAGAAATCGGGTTAAATTCTGATCAATATCAGGTTTTCTGGTTGACCCAAACACAAGCCCGAAACTAAAATCGGATGAGATATTCAAACCTGAACCGGCCTGTGTGCTAACTAGGGGTGTAAACGAGTCGAGTCGAGTCGAGTTTCAGCACTAACGAGCTCAACTCGTTAGTCGGAAAGCGGCTTGAGCTCGAGTCGATCTCAAAAAGCGTGCTCAAACTCGAGCTCGTCCCATTAAAATCGAGTTCGAGCCGGCTTGCGAGCCGCTCGATTCAGTTTTACAGGGTTGATTTTAGGTTTCCGGGTCAACCCGAATCTGAGCCGATTTTACTAACAGGTTGAAATTCCTAACCCGAATTTGAAATTTTTGGGTCGGGTTCAGGTTGGATTTTCGGGTCGTGTCAAATATTGACACCCCTTGCAAACATAGGAAGACATGCATAAAGAGACTTACAAAATTTCCTAATCCGTTGTTTTAAACTCTTAATTTATGCAAAGATTTGACTTTTTAGATGCAAAACCAGCTAAGACATACAATTCACTCTAAAAGATGATTTTGAAATTGTCAAATTCTAAAATTTCACAAAAAATTTGCAAACAAATGAAAACCATGCAACGAATTAGGATTCACAACCCG